GACAGGGTAGGGAAGTTTCCCTCTCTTCAAAGACAGGGTAGGGAAGTTTCCCTCTCTTCAAAGACAGGGTAGGGAAGTTTCCCTCTCTTCAAAGACAGGGTAGGGAAGTTTCCCTCTCTTCAAAGACAGGGTAGGGAAGTTTCCCTCTCTTCAAAGACAGGGTAGGGAAGTTTCCCTCTCTTCAAAGACAGGGTAGGGAAGTTTCCCTCTCTTCAAAGGATATGGAAGTTTCCCCAAGACCCACCAGCTGAACGTTCATTATCAAATCAATTGGATCACACGTGGTAGAGATGCCCTGGATGCAGCCTCTAACTCTATCATCTCTTACGAAATAATGTGGGGGGAGAGACCGTGCCCTCCACGGATTGTTGCGATGGATGGAGGGGAGGACGCACATACACGCACATGCATGCACACACGTGCACACGTACACACACAATTTCGGCTGAGGAGACAGAGAGAGAGAGAGAGAGAGAGAGAGATGATGCGGGTGTGTGATTCCCTTCAGTAGTGGACATTTTTCAAAACACTTGAGCCAGCTAAAGAGAGGCTGCATCTTCATCATAGCATCCCACACAAATTCACACACATCCCTGCTCTTACGGACTCTCAGAGCCTCTCTGTAATCTTGCTATAGCACCGAGAGATGAGACATAAAGCGAGAGATAGCGGAGGTAGTGGTGAGGCTGGTGAGGTACAAGTGAACACTATACTGTGGATGAGAGAGATGATCTAAACACGTTATAACAGTATCATCCCCGGCCTCACCGACTCAATGGATGTATGGCTTCAAAAACTCTCTTTTTAAAATGAACATCGGGGACATATGTGCCGGTGAAAGGGGCGAAATGTTTAACAAAACATGGGGAGGGGGAGGGTAGGAAGGGAGATACACTATTGAGGAATTGAGGGGAATGGGGATATGAAGGGAGAGAAGAGGGAGGATGCGGAGGGAAGGAGAGGATGTGGTGTGGAGGGAAGGAGGAAGATAGGGATGAAGGGAGAGGAGAGGATGTGGTGTGGAGGGAAGGAGGAAGATAGGGATGAAGGGAGAGGAGGATATTGAGGGTGAATACAGGGATGTGGAGGGTGGATACAGGGCTGTGGAGGGTGGATACAGGGCTGTGGAGGGTGGATACAGGGCTGTGGAGGGTGGATACAGGGCTGTGGAGGGTGGATAAAGGGAGGAGGAGGGTGGATACAGAAATGTGGAGGGTAAATACAAGAATGTGGAGAGTAAATACAAGGATGTGGAGGGTAAATACAAGTATGTGGAGGGTAAATACATGTGGAGGGTAAATACAGGGATGTGGAAGGTGGATACAGGGATGTGGAGGGTAAATACAGGTATGCAGAAAGTGGATACAGGGATGTGGAGGATAAATACAGGGATGTGGAAGGTGGATACAGGGATGTGGAGGGTAAATACAGGGATGTGGAAGGTGGATACAGGGATGTGGAGGGTAAATACAGGGATGTGGAAGGTGAATACAGGGATGTGGAAGGTGGATACAGGGATGTGGAGAGTAAATACAGGGATGTGGAAGGTGGATACAGGGATGTGGAGGGTAAATACAGGGATGTGGAAGGTGGATACAGGGATGTGGAGGGTAAATGCAGGGATGTGGAAGGTGGATACAGGGATGTGGAAGGTGGATACAGGGATGTGGAGGGTAAATACAGGGATGTGGAAGGTGGATACAGGGATGTGGAGGGTAAATACAGGGATGTGGAAGGTGGATACAGGGATGTGGAGGGTAAATACAGGGATGTGGAAGGTGGATACAGGGATGTGGAGGGTAAATACAGGGATGTGGAAGGTGGATACAGGGATGTCGAGGGTAAATACAGGGATGTGGAAGGTGGATACAGGGATGTGGAAGGTGGATACAGGGATGTGGAGGGTAAATACAGGGATGTGGAAGGTGGATACAGGGATGTGGAAGGTGGATACAGGGATGTGGAAGGTGGATACAGGGATGTGGAGGGTAAATACAGGGATGTGGAAGGTGGATACAGGGATGTGGAAGGTGGATACAGGGATGCGGAGGGTAAATACAGGGATGTGGAAGGTGGATACAGGGATGTTGAAGGTGGATACAGGGATGTGGAAGGTGGATACAGGGATGTGGAAGGTGGATACAGGGATGTGGAAGGTGGATACAGGGATGTGGAGGGTAAATACAGGGATGTGGAAGGTGGATACAGGGATGTGGAAGGTGGATACAGGGATGTGGACGGTAAATACAGGATGTGGAAGGTGGATACAGGGATGTGGAAGGTGGATACAGGGATGTGGAGGGTAAATACAGGGATGTGGAAGGTGGATACAGGGATGTGGAAGGTGGATACAGGGATGTGGAGGGTAAATACAGGGATGTGGAAGGTGGATACAGGAATGTGGAGGGTAAATACAGGGATGTGGAAGGTGGATACAGGGATGTGGAAGGTGGATACAGGGATGTGGATGGTAAATACAGGGATGTGGAAGGTGGATACAGGGATGTGGAAGGTGGATACAGGGATGCGGAGGGTAAATACAGGGATGTGGAAGGTGGATACAGGGATGTGGAAGGTGGATACAGGGATGTGGAAGGTGGATACAGGGATGTGGAAGGTGGATACAGGGATGTGGAGGGTAAATACAGGGATGTGGAAGGTGGATACAGGGATGTGGAAGGTGGATACAGGGATGTGGAGGGTAAATACAGGGATGTGGAAGGTGGATACAGGGATGTGGAGGGTAAATACAGGGATGTAGAAGGTAGATACAGGGATGTGGAAGGTGGATACAGGATGTGGAAGGTAAATACAGGGATGTGGATGGTAAATACAGGGATGTGGAAGGTGGATACAGGGATGTGGAAGGTGGATACAGGGATGTGGAGGGTAAATACAGGGATGTGGAAGGTGGATACAGGGATGTGGAGGGCAAATACAGGGATGTGGAAGGTGGATACAGGGATGTGGAGGGTAAATACTGTGATGTGGAAGGTGGATACAGGGATGTGGAAGGTGGATACAGGGATGTGGAGGGTAAATACAGGGATGTGGAAGGTGGATACAGGGATGTGGAAGGTGGATACAGGATGTGGAAGGTAAATACAGGGATGTGGAGGGTAAACACAGGGATGTGGAAGGTGGATACAGGGATGTGGAGGGTAAATACAGGGATGTGGAAGGTGGATACAGGGATGTGGAAGGTGGATACAGGGATGTGGAAGGTGGATACAGGGATGTGGAAGGTGGATACAGGGATGTGGAGGGTAAATACAGGGATGTGGAAGGTGGATACAGGGATGTGGAAGGTGGATACAGGGATGTGGAAGGTGGATATAGGGATGTGGAAGGTGGATACAGGGATGTGGAAGGTGGATACAGGGATGTGGAAGGTGGATATAGGGATGTGGAAGGTGGATACAGGGATGTGGAAGGTGGATACAGGGATGTGGAAGGTGGATACAGGGATGTGGAAGGTGGATACAGGGATGTGGAAGGTGGATACAGGGATGTGGAAGGTAGATACAGGGATGTGGAAGGTGGATACAGGGATGTGGAGGGTAAATACAGGGATGTGGAAGGTGGATACAGGGATGTGGAGGGTAAATACAGGATGTGGAAGGTGGATACAGGGAAGTGGAAGGTGGATACAGGGATGTGGAGGGTAAATACAGGGATGTGGAAGGTGGATACAGGGATGTGGAAGGTGGATACAGGGATGTGGAGGGTAAATACAGGGATGTGGAAGGTGGATACAGGGATGTGGAAGGTGGATACAGGGATGTGGAAGGTGGATACAGGGATGTGGAGGGTAAATACAGGGATGTGGAAGGTGGATACAGGGATGTGGAGGGAAAAGGGAGATGACGGGACCATTTTTATTCTTTCTGGTTACTAGAGTTTTGCAATTTTGTGTTAATATTAGAAGGGAGTGGTGGTAGCAGTGGTGGTAGTGGTGGTAGCAGTGGTGGTAGTGGTAGCTGTGGTGGTAATGGTGGTAGTGGTGGTGGTGGTAGCTGTGGTAGTGGTAGCTGTGGTGGTAGTGGTGGTGGTAGCAGTGGTGGTAGTGGTGGTGGTGGTAGCTGTGGTGGTGGTAGCTGTGGTGGTAGTGGTGGTAGCAGTGGTGGTAGTGGTAGTGGTGGTAGTGGTAGCTGTGGTTGTAATGGTGGTGGTGGTGGTGTTAGCTGTGGTGGTAGTGGTGTAGCATTGGTGGTAGTTTTAGCTGTGGTGATAATGGTGGTAGCAGTGGTGGTAGTGGTGGTAGCTGTGGTGGTACCTGTGGTAGCAGTGGTGGTAGTGGTAGCTGTGGTGGTAATGGTGGTAGCGGTGGTGGTAGTGGTGGTAGCAGCGGTGGTAATGGTGGTAGCAGTGGTGGTAGTGGTTGTAGCAGTGGTGGTAGCAGGGGTGGCGGTGGTGGTAGCAGTAGTTGTAGTGGTTGTAGAGGTAGCAGTGGTGGTAGTGGTGGTAGCAGTGGTGGTAGTGGTGGTAGCAGTGGTGGTGGTGGTTGTAATGGTAGTAATGGTGACTGTTACTTGATTGGTAGAAGTGGTGTCTGTTACAACAATAACAATAATAATAATAATAATAATAATAATAATAATAATAATATGTCCCCTTGGAAGCGGTCACAGGTAAAAAATACATTATGAAAAAACAACCCAGAAGTATAACATATGTTATTTGCTTGGACCTCCTCCTCTTTTCTGCAACATTGCAAGTTCCTGATGATGTGTTGATTGCAACACGAAAGGCCTAGAGCTACCATTCAACTCTTCCCATCCTTGTAGGATTTGGTGGTCCTGTGGGTTAGAGCCTCATGTGATTTTCGCTCACCATGAGGTGAGCCAAAACGATATGAGTTCGAGTCCTCGGCTAGTGGCAGTGTTATTGATATATGAGAGAGAGAGAGAGAGAGAGAGAGAGAGAGAGAGAGAGAGAGAGAGAGAGAGAGAGAGAGAGAGAGAGAGAGAGAGACTAACCCCTGGTGTTCTCTTCCCCAGCACCCGTACCCTTCTGAGGACCAAAAGAAGCAGCTAGCACAAGACACGGGCCTAACTATCCTACAAGTCAACAACTGGTGAGTACAAGACCTGTCTTCCTTCCCTCGCGTCCCGACCTTCATCACTCCCACTAATTGCAAATTTATCCTTGAAACAAGTTCTCATTCGTTATATAGAATGTTTTTCTCCTTTCCAGTGTTTATTCACACAGTTATTTAGGTAATTGATGTTATTTTGATGGCCTACCTAGTGTCACTTTGATGTGGTGAAGTTCGGGACTATTTTTAACCTTTCTTTTTGACAGTAGTTTTGGTAAAATGAAATTGAAAGAGCCACATTTCTTTAACGTGTTGTTTTCGTGAGTTATGCCGCACTTGTACCGGTACAGCGTGGCACCGCTGTACCGGTACAGCGAGGCACCGCTGTATTGTACCATCTAGCATGGTTAAGGTTTGTCAGGAAACAGGACAAGTGTTTCCTGACGCGGGTCTTAGTCATATGATAACCCAGGACTTCTACTGGCTTATCCCTCCACCCTTTTAAAAATTATGGTTATGATTATAGCCAGGAGGAGTCTTAATAGTGACTGCTTACTTGACTAGCCTTGGAGAGGGAGAGGCTAGGGTAGGATAGAACGTATTGAAGGTGACTGTCCTTAGTGAGTGAACAATGGAGTGTTATACAAGGCATTGAGGTGTATCTAACCTCAGTGGATGAACACTAGGAGAGGATAGACAGCCTGATGGGGGGGGGACTATCCTTAGGTACTAAGCACTATGAGCTTTACCTCTTCCTGTATACATAATGACCATGTATCTATCTTCCCCCCCCCCCCTCTCCTTAGGGGGTAAAAAGAGTGGTTTTTCTCTTTAAAGGGCGGTGTGCCAACGAGACAGGATAATTCATTGAGGTGTGTAGGAATTTGGGCGGATACCAGTGCGTTGCTGAGCAACCTGCACAATGCACAACTCAAAGGTTAAAGGTTACAAAGATGGATGAGGACTTGAACTCTCTGGGCTTGTGATGTTGAAAGACTCGACTATATTGATGCATCACACCCAAACCTTTGCTCGTGTTGCAAGGCCGTACTGCCGACAGGAATGAAGACAAAGATATGTAGCGGAACATGCGTTTACTGGGCAGCGTTTTGCTACAAGGAGAGCTTTTGAAGGTCATGAAAAGCGTCCCTTAGCGTGAAACGTTCTTCCTTTTGAGACTTATTCTATTATATGCGTGTGTCCTCAAGATCTTTATATATGGCATCTTAGGCGACGTATCGCACACCGTGAGGCTTTACACTTATATTTGTACTTCCTAATTATAATTGAAAACAAATGTCGTGGCGCTTTCTATTCCCGGGAAGAAAGTGGGAGCAATAAAGAGAGTATTGAGGCGTTGTTATGTACTTGAAATGTCCTGACGAGAGCCTTAGCCCCAGCTGAGTGTTTACTCTCAGTCAATTCCGGGAGCGGGAATCCTGAGTAACAAACAAAAGCTCCCTTAGGATAATGTTGTCCGCAGTGCCGTGTGCTTTTGTTATTGCGTTGGCATTGTTTGGCTCTTAGTGCCTGTGGGGTTCCCCTGCGTATCGTCCACAGGCCTCGCTAGCATCGCTCATCTGCCTCATCCCGTCATATCAATTGTCTGGACGTAATGTTTTGGGAAGAAGTGACTTCCGGCGGGAGAGACTCCCGGGGTGCCCGTTGATGGTCACCCAGCAGATCAGAACTAATTGCTATTGATGATTTCTGGTCGAGCGAAGATTACGCCGTAACACTTTGGCATCAGTGACTGCCTGAGGGAGTCTCCGATCTTCCTGCAAGTTGCTGGTTGATGCCTTAGCAGGCAGCAACGATTCCTAAGCCAACCTCAGGTTGGTGGTTCTCCAGAGGTTCTAGTTGCCAGTGTGTACATACCAGGTTTATGTCTTGTTTCTTGCACCCTCACTGACCTTAGTTAACAGCCAGATTGGTCAGAGACATTTCCGCGATTAGTGGACGGTGGATCGAGCCCCCGCCACTTCATCTTAATATTAATGCTCCTTCTCCCCCTCATTGGTTAGCTGCGCTGCCCACACTTTTTTTTTTTTCATATTTTTGCATATAAATTTTGTAATTGGGAAAGATGGTTCAAATTTTAGCAGGGAGGAAACTTGGCAAAGTCCCATTGTAAATGGAACTTTATAAAGCAAAGGCTTTCACCCACAGTGGGACATTTCTTGAAACGTGGTACAGCGCCACTGTGAGTGAAACGTCGTAAAAAGCTTTCTTGCTTAAATTGTCTTTGAATCTCGACGTGTTTAAACCATTGTCTACCAAGAAGGTAACTCAAGAATGGCCAACCCGCAGTATTTACTGTCAGCAGAGAGGAGGAGGAATGGAGGAGGAGACTCGGGAAGCGATAAAGATGGAGGTCTGGAGAGACTGCGATCTACATTGGAATGATGACTCGTTGGGTTTAGGAAATGAACTGGAAGGATTTATCTGCCGGACCTGGACGACCGCTGCCTGTTGTGTGGGTTTTGGGTCGAGGAATTCGTGGAAGTTGGTAGAGTATCCTGTCCAGAATACTGGTCCACTAGTTACAAAACACTGGCTCACTGGATTCCACGCGGTCCACTTTATCCACCACTCTTCGTACATGGAACGGGCCAGTTTGCATATCAAACTTCGTCGGCCAAGACATGGAAATGATTTGCGCGTCTTCCACAGAAGAGGTATCTTTTCACTTATACACACACACACACACACACACACACACACACAAATATATATATATATATATATATATATATATATATATATATATATATATATATATATATATATATATATATATATATATATATATATATGCAATAAGATCACAGTAAACGGGTGATTTCAGAATATGCAAAACAACAACTGTGAAAGAATAGAGGAATTCCAAGCGCTTTCGTGACTACTCACATTATCAAGGAACATTGTTCCTTGATAATGTGAGTAGTCACGAAAGTGCTTGGAATTTCTCTATTCTTTGACAGTGGTTGTTTTGCAATATATATATATATATATATATATATATATATATATATATATATATATATATATATATATATATATATATATATGGTATTCCACATACATCGGGAGTGAGGAGAACTGCATGAATGGAGTTTCCAGAAGAGCTATCCTGGATGTCGAATATTGGTGACTGTGCTGCAATCTTTCCGGTCAGTTGGAAAGGCTGACTTGCAATATAGTATTTGAGTCCGCATTTTTGGAATGCTAACGTTGCAGGCCTGGAAGCTCGACCTGCGAGTCTGAAGGTCTGGAAGCTTGATCCGCGAGTCTGGAAGGTTGGTATATCCGAAAGGCTGATTTGACAGGTACGGAAGGCTGAGTAAGTTTGGAAAGTTGACCCAAAGGTCTGGAGGGATGATTCACAGTTCTGGAAAGTTTGATTTTCAGGTCTGGAAACCTGACCAACAAATCAGGAAGGCTGATCAACACATCTGGAAGGTTGACCTGCAGATGAGAGGGTCGACCTGGATATCTGGAAGAGCTGAGTGGCGGTCAGGAGAAAGAGTTGGTCTGGAGCTCTGGAAGAGCTGAGTGGCGATCAGGAGAAAGGGTTGACCTGGAGCTCTGGAAGAGCTGAGTGGCGGTCAGGAGGAAGGGTTGACCTGGAGCTCTGGAAGAGCTGAGTGGCGGTCAGGAGGAAGGGTTGACCTGGAGCTCTGGAAGAGCTGAGTGGCGGTCAGGAGGAAGGGGGTGTTCTGGTGTGCATCGGAGCGTGGTGAGCCCTGGAACTAATGACCTGGAAACTTTCCTTCCCCTCGGCTAAGAGACGACGCTAATGGCACTACCCCTCTCCCGCTCCCCTCTCTCTTTCTCTCTCCCTCTTTCTCCTCTCTCCCACCAGGTCTGCTGCTCTCTCTACCTTTCTCTTCCCCGCTCTCCCCTTTCCCCTCTCCTACCAGATCTCTTCCTTGCTCTTTCGCTCCTCCTCCACCCCTTTTCCTCTCTCTCTAATATTTCCATACCAGTGGCCACAATAACAACCAACTAACCTCTCCATTATTGAGGTATTCCTCCGTTTCTACCACCACAGAAGCCATCACCGCCACATCTCGCCCACCGCTACGACATTTCACCCTTCGTCACTACTAGTGTCCTACGGCATCTTCGAGCCTTCAGCTTTTAGCCAAATTAAAACTTATTTTAATCGCAAAGCTTCAGCGGCGAAGAATTAAGCAATTGAGCGTGAACTTTAAAGACACTGGACACGTCTCCTCATTCTTAGCGCCGTGTCCTCACTCTTAGTGCCGTGTCCTCAGTCTCAGCGCCGTGTCTCAGTCTTAGCGCCGTGTCCTCAGTCTTAACGCCGTCTCTTAGTTTCTCACAGTTTTGGACTCACTTTATTGTTCTCCTGATGAGTTTGGGCCAAATTACAAAGTCTTTGATGCGCTAACAGGCCTATTGTAAATCTCCTGATGGTCTGGCAGGAGAATTATGTGACTCAAAAGGGATTAGAAGCTACTAAGTGTTTTGAAGGTGGATCAGATATCGTTCTGCAGGGTTGGAATCCATGACAACTCACTCTGAAAACTATTAAAACACGTTACTGAGCAAGCATCTGTTAGGACAAAGTTTTGCTCTGTGTAGCGTTTTATCTGTACCTGTTTGTTACCTGTAGTCAGTTCCGGGGGTCACTGCCCTCCCCCCACTACAGCTCGGCCGATAAGGAACTCATTTTGAGGTACTTATCAAGTTCCCTTTTAAAGACAGCAGGAGGTTTGTTAAGAATTCCCCATATGCACGGAGGGAGGTGTTGAACAGTCTCGGGCTCCTTACCCTTACATGTATTGAGTTCTCTTAGTGTACCCGTCACATCCCTGCTTTTTTATTATATATTTTTTGCATTGTCTGCCAAGCCTCTTGCTCTCAAATGGAGTGATTTCAGTGTGCAGGATTGGGACGAGTCTATCTAGAATTTTCCAGGTGTAAATTATGGTGTATCTTTCTTTCCCACGTTCCAAGGAGTACAGCTCGAGATATTTCAAGCGTTTCCAGCAGTTCAGATGCTTGATTGAATT